TTCTGTGGCAGACTAGTGTGGCTACTGGGATTAAAGGTGTTACTACTGCCTGGTCTATAAGGCTGACCATTGCGGCTATTTTACTCTCTAGTTTTCAGGCAAACTTTATTTATTAAAATACAAATGAAATGTCACAACATCTAACCTAGATCCTCTATATAAACATTATGATGTGTGGCTTGGTGTTCTTGTGGGACTACTAATAGTGGAAGTGGGGCTGCCTCTCAGTCTGTTGCCTTCTCTTGGGACCCTTTTCATCCTACTGGGTTGCCTTGTCTAGCCTTGATATGAGGCTATGTGCCTGGTCTTATTGTGACTTGTTATACCAGTGTTTGGTTGATATCCCTGGGAGGCCTGCTCTTTTCTGTGGGGGAAATGGAGGAGTGGATCTGGGGAAGAGCAGAGGTGGAGAGGATGGGACTGGGAAGAGAGGAAGAGGGGAAACTGCAATCAGGATGTAATGTATAAAAAATAATAATTAATTAATTAATTAAAAAATTACCTGTTAACTTTCCTTTCTCTTCACTTCCAACTCTTCAGCAGTATTTAAATATATCCCTTAAAATTATATGAACATATTTCCCAATGCTCTGACCTTTGCCACTTTCATCTCTACCACTGTTGTCTCGACAGTGTTGTTGCTTGGGTCCTCTTAAAAGCAGATACTGAGAGAGTTTATTATGCATCATATTTATTAGAAGGTACCCCTGGGGTAAAGAGGTAGGTGAGGAAGTAAGATAGGGCGTATGAGAAGCAGAACATATATGGCGGTGTGCTGTGTTGGTGGTATCTGTGTGGGAGTTATGAAACTAACTAAAAGTTATGAAACTTGTCACTTTGTCTGGTTTTGACCATACACATCATGGTCATGCTCCTGTCTCATCACTGAAGCTGTGTTACACTGAGAAAGGTATGATCAATTAAATATGACACTCAGTAGCTGGAGGATCACCAGGTAAAAGCATCAAGCAAGTCTTTTTTTGCAGGGAGAGCTGGAGGTACATCACTGTCCACAATAGGACACCCTGTGTCACTAGAGTCTACACCATATTCATTTGATAGCAGATCCTCCAGGATTCCAGTTCAGTCTCATGGAGGAAATTAAAGATCATTAAAAGTAGAGTGAATCTCTGGTCTGGTAGCTAGATGGTTCAAGTTGCAGCTGACCCTTTATCTCCTTTGTGATCATGCTAATTCCATCTTACTTATAGTTAGTATTTTTGTCATTCTTACTATCTAAACTGGTTGACATAGTCTTCTTAGGCTGTTGTTGTGACACTTATCTGTGTTCTTTCAAAACGGAGGGGATTGATCTTCCCAAGAGAATTATTTTTGTGACACAGAAGATACTAGTCTCTGCTTTGGTATATAACAGCACCTCTCCCTCCTTGAAGATCACAGTTGATTGCCCCCGCCAAAGGTGAATACTTTATTTCCCCTTTATTCTCTGAATACAAGCAGCCAGTGTTATCAAGCAGCACTGAAAGCCAGAGTTTAATGCAGCCCTACTTTTTCTTTTGGAATTTTTTGTTTGAAGTATATGTGCCTGTGAAGGTATATGCTACATGTGTGCATGTGTCTGTGGAGGCCAGAAGAGGGCATCAGATTCCTTGGGACTGGGGTTACAGGCAGTTGTGAGATCCCTAACACAGCTGGAAATTGAACTCAGGTCCTCTTAAGTGTGAGTCATCTCCCCAACCTCTTTAGTGCACTTCTTACTTCCCTTGTGCTTAGGCAAAAGCATTCCCCCTTCAATATCAAGATCTCTTTCACTGCAGACATGAGACATGAACAGACTAGGAGATAGGGTAGGCAGGGCATTTGCACTTCTTGTTCCTAATTCTTGTAGTAGTAGCAAAGGTTTATTTATTTGGGGATAAACTCACAGTAAGGGTAGCCATTTGCAGTCTCTGCGTGCACTGGGAACTGGAACTGAATCCAGCAGAAAAAAGGACCCTGCACGCATTTCATCTGCACTTATGAGACCAAATGGCTTTGGCTGAAGGAGTTCCCTCAACAGCTTTCCCTTTTGTCTAATAAGAGTTTTAGGCCTAATACAAACTATATACAATAAGAACAAATATTATATACTTTCCAGGGAAAAGAGGAGGCAAAAACATACATAAAAATTAGAATTACAGCCAGCATTAACAGCATTAAACAAGAAACATGTTAAATGTTTTAATAGTCGGAGTCTTATATTAAAAATGGCTTGGCTAAGTCATGAGATGGAAGTAACTATGACTATCTAGTCTTTAGCCCCATTAAAGACCTGAGAAGGGAAATAATATTACTTGAGAAAACAGAAAGTGCAATTGAGCAACTTTCAAAAGGTGTAAAAAATGACAAAGACAACTGGCTATTTGGGCAGTTACCCAAAGTCTCATTTATTGTTGAATCACAAAATTACCTTTATATATTATATGCCTCAAACATAAGCTTATAACTTGTAAAGTATATTAATTTCTTAAATTACATATGAAACAAAATATCAAGTTGTAGCTGGTTTTATTATTTAAGACTTAACTACCTTTCTGTTTACTTATCTTTTGCGGCTCTGCTTGTCTGCATTGGTCCACAAGGGTGGAGGGAGCAGAAGCGGGGAACAAGGTTCTGACAGCTGTGGGTATGACTTAGATAGCAGCCAGGAGACAGACTTTAGTGAATCATCTCAGCTTTATTCCAGAATATAAGGAATGTTTAGGATTGGGGAGCCTGGGACAAACCCTAGTTTGTATTCAGTGGCACGCTCCTAGCATTAGGCTCCGTATGTGACAGTAGGGTCCTATAGCAGAGCTCCTAGCACAAATCTTCTAGCAAGAATCTGTGCCAAGGGTCAGGCTAAAGCTAAATCAGGCATCTGGCTTAGACACAGCCTTCAGATAAGGTCAGTTCTCTGGTTCAAGGGACATTCTCCAGCTAAGGGCAGGTAGAGAGCAGGAAATTTTGCTGGGGAGGAAGAGTCTTTATGTCTCTGAAATTTTGGGAAAAGCTGTTGGCCAGCCAGCAAGGCCTTCCAGCAGTCTATTAGGATTTTTATTTTATATGTTTTTAGGTTATTGTATAGTGGTCATTTATTTTACCTCATATCCTAGGCAAGTAACAGACTTTCAGTTGTTATTTCCTTATTTATTTTAATTTCAGAACATCTCAGTTTCTCCCTTGCTTTTGAATGCTGGTATTGCTGGGTATAGGATTTCTTAACAGATTTTTGTTTAACACTTTGAACTTAAGTGTTCATGTTGCTTTTACAAGTCTTTGCTCTTCAAAAGTTTTAAAGTGCAAAGATTGCAAACCTGCATCATTTTGCCCAACATGCATATTTACTATTTTTGATTGGACTTTGTACTTTAATAACTTAAATAATAGTAGTCTAATAATGCTGTATCTGAGAAAATTTAATGTGCTTGTTTTCACATAGTGTATACATGTTAACTCATTTCATTGAATGTTTTATGTGATTTTAATAGTACATAGCTTTGAATATAAGTTTACCCACTTTTTAAAAAAAAAGATTTATTTATTTATTATGTATACAGTATTCTGCCTACATATATCCTATAGGCCAGTAGAGGGCACCAGATCTCATTATAGATGGTTGTGAGCCACCATGTGGTTGCTGGGAATTGAATTTAGGACCTCTGGAAGAGCAGTCAGTGCTCTTAACCTCTGAGCTACCTCTCCAGCCCAAGTTTACCCACTTTTAAGTGAAGTTTTATTGAATATGTATGTAGTTTACAGCATTATACACAATGTACAGTTACTCCAGAATTTATTGTTCATATATGCATTTCCTTATAATTTTATTTTTAATCTCTGTTTTTGAGACAGGGACTTGCTTTGCAACCAAGAATTTATTATGATCTTGCCTCATTCTCCAAGCCGTGGGAAAATAAAATGATGGGGTTGGAGCTGAGCATTGGTAACACTGCTGATGTTGCTAGGAGGTTGCCAGCTATCTTCCTGAAAGGCTCTGCCTGGTTGGCAGCTGTGCCATGCAACTGTCAGCATCCTGTCCTCTTACCACACTGCACTCTATAATTAAAATACAGTTCTCTTCTTCTGGGGTTAAAAAAATAATAACTTAATGGATGTCATGTGGCTCATGCTTTGGTTAGGGTTACGGTTCCCAGCAGCACTGGCAAGGCAGAGACAGGAAGATCTCTTGAGTTTAAGGCCAACCTGTGTTGTCTGAGGTTCTGTCCTGCCTGGTTTCTGTCCTCCCACCAGGTCCCACAGCCATTTAGCCCCAAAGAAATTACACAGAGGTCTATATTAATTATAAACTGGTTAGCTCATTAGCTCAGGCTTCTTATTAATTCTTGTAACGTATATTAACCTATATTCTTACCTATGTTAGCCACATGGCTCAGTGCCTTTTTCAGTGGGGCAGGTGACATCCTGCTTCTTCGGTGTCTGGACAGGACTGCAGAGGAATGGGCTTCCTCCTTCCCAGAATTCTCCTGTTCTTATTACCCCGCCTCATCTTCCATCTGGTTGTCCTGCCTATACTTCCTGCCTGGCTACTGGCCAATCAGTGTTTATTTAAAACATAATTGACAGAATACAAAATTGTCCCACACCAAACCTGGTCTTCATATCAAGTTTCAGACAAGCCAGTGCTACATAGAGAGACCCTATTTTTCCCTCATGCCCCCCCCCCAAAGATTACTTAAATTGTTTGATTGCTAGTAAAGCTATACCTTTTGTTTTGTTTTAGGTTTAAGTTTTTTGTTTGTTTGAATAAATTACCTTCTTATACCCTTTCCTCATTTTGTATTTGGTTGCTCCAACTGGTCAGTAATGCTGTTCTAATATTTTAGTATCCTACTTTTCTTTAATTAATTAATTAGCCTTATTTATTAAAGAATTTTAAACAACAAAAACCTTTTCAATAATAAAATAGACATCAGTTTTCAAGATCTTAAGTAGTAAAGCCTGTTTTAGACTGTAACTTGTTCTGTAAAGTCTTGTTAAAACATGTTTATTCTATGAACCAGGAGCCTTTTGTGGCTGATGAATACATCGAGCGTCTGGTGTGGAGAACCCCAGGAGGTGGTTCTAGAGGTGGATCTGAAGCTTTTGATCCCAAAAGGTAAACTAAAAAACAAAATTTTGATAGTCCCAATGTAGTACTACAAATTCTGTTTCGATTAGAGACAACTGTATTGGGGTTTCTTTCAGTGTTCATATAAAACAATTTTAATTAACAGTTTGTCCCCATCTCAAAAAGTTTCTTACACCATTAGAAGTCTGAAACTGTATTTTTCCTTAAGCACTTGAGCTGATTGGATGAGGATTTTATTGACATTAAGAGTTTAATTTCTTGGGTTGGGGAGATGGCTCAGAGGTTAAGAGCACTGGCTGCTCTTCCAGAGGTCCTGAGTTCAATTCTCAGCAACCACATGGTGGCTCACAACCATCTGTAATGAGATCTGGTGCCCTCTTCCTAACTGTAGGCATCCAAGCAGACAGAATACTGTATACATAATAAATAAATAAATCTTAAAAAGAGTTTAATTTCTCCACTTAGCATTAAATTAGAAAGGTCTGGTTATGCTTCTGAAATTAAAACTTGGTTGCGTGTGGTAGTGCACACCTGTAATCTCAGCACTCGGGCTAAGGCAGAGCTGTGAGTTAGAGGTTAGTCTAGAATACATAGCTGCGAGTTGGAGGTTAGTCTAGAATACAGAGCTGTGAGTTGGAGGGTAGTCTAGAATACAGAGCTGTGAGTTGGAGGTTAGTCTAGAATACACAGCTGTGAGTTGGCAGTTAGTCTAGAATACAGAGCTGTGAGTTGGAGGGTAGTCTAGAATACAGAGCTGTGAGTTGGAGGTTAGTCTAGAATACAGAGCTGTGAGTTGGAGGGTAGTCTAGAATACAGAGCTGTGAGTTGGAGGGTAGTCTAGAATACAGAGCTGTCAGAGGTTAGTCTAGAATACACAGCTGTGAGTTGGAGGTTAGTCTAGAATACACAGCTGTGAGTTGGAGGTTAGTCTAGAATACACAGCTGTGAGTTGGAGGGTAGTCTAGAATACATAGCTGTGAGTTGGAGGGTAGTCTAGAATACATAGCTGTGAGTTGGAGGGTAGTCTAGAATACATAGCTGTGAGTTGGAGGTTAGTCTAGAATACACAGCTGTGAGTTGGAGGGTAGTCTAGAATACATAGCTGTGAGTTGGAGGTTAGTCTAGAATACACAGCTGTGAGTTGGAGGGTAGTCTAGAATACAGAGCTGTGAGTTGGAGGTTAGAATACATAGCAAAACCCCCAACTCTGAACAGGCAAATAAATAATAATGAAAATTTGGCTATGTTCTTTTAAATTTAATAGCTGTAAATCAGGGAAACAAAGTCACTGAAGTCTGTGGTGCATTTTTTATTGTACATTTATCTTTCTGATTTTTAAATTCTAAAGCTTGCTTGGATATTGAATGGTGATTCTTTGAGGTTTTCCTTTACCTTAGAGATAATCCATTGCAAAGTCAATAAGAACTGGCTGTATTTTCAAATGCTATGTAATTTTAAAACCACACCAAAAGTTTTTTTCCCCATTGTAGAAATTGCAAGGTACTGTTAAAGAAAATGAACATGCTTATCCCTATCTCAACAAACCCTGTTAAGACCTTCCTAAAGCAATCTGGTGATTTCCTTTTGATTAATACTAGGCAAATTGATTGTACTATTACTTTCCTCTGTTAGGTTGTTAGAAGAATTTGTGAATCATATTCAAGAACTTCAGATAATGGATGAAAGAATTCAAAGGAAGGTGGAGAAGTTAGAACAGCAGTGTCAGAAGGAAGCTAAGGAATTTGCTAAGAAGGTACAAGAGCTCCAGAAAAGCAATCAGGTATACATTTAGCTAAGGAATGAATGATTTATATAGATTATAACATATTTTCTTTCCTTTTGTTTTTTTGGTTATATCTTTATTCCTTTTCAGCTTTAGGCATTTGAAGAGTCAAGTCAAATTGTAGTAACTTGTAACTCTCTGGTCCTGTGGAATAAGATAATGTATTGTTATTTCCTACTATTGGTATTGGTGTGCTGCTTGGGTGGGTTTGGAATCACAGGATTCCCCTTTTCAGGTTAGGGTGGTAGATGCCAGATTGTGACCCTTGCTTCACCTCTAATTGAGTAAGCTTTCACAAGACTGACTAGTCCATAGATCTGCTCTTTGAGAAATTTTTAATTAAAATGGATATTTATGAAGTCATTTTAATTTTATTTAATCATAAATAAAGCCAGATCTGGATCAAATTATCCCCTACCTCAGTGGTTCTCAAACTTCATAATGTTGTGATCCTTTGACACAGTTCACCATGCTGTGGTGAACCCCCAACCATAAAATCTTGTTGCTACTTCATAACTATAATTTTGCTACTATTATAAAGCATAATTTAAATATCTGATATGGGAGGGGTTATGACTCACAGGTTGAGAACTGCTGCCCTAAAGAAACTTGATTTGAGTGGTTTCACAAAAGCCCCTAGGATGCGCTCAGTGAGAGCTCTACTGTAGCTGTGGGAAAACTGCTACAGAACTCTCTTCCTCAGTCTACTTTTCAGTGAAACCAAACCGCTAGCCTGACCCCAGGCTAGCTTACCAGACTTCTTATCTCCTATTAGGTCTGAATGTCTGAATCCCATTCCCTGGCTTGGTTTAATTTGGAGTTTGTCTTTTCTAAGTGTAGTTTGAAGAACATTGTTGAGTTTTCTCACTCCTGGGGAGCAAGCTTATTTCTATATGGCTGTGGTAAAGTATTTGATTTAAAAAGTAAATAATTTCAATGTTTTTGAATAATCATGGTGACAGTTTCTATAATCTTCTAATACAATTATTCCGTGATTAATAAAAACAATATTAATAGTTGATGTAACAAACTGGAGCTCGTCTGCCTGGGTTTGAATTGTAACCTGACCACTAAGCTAATTGTATAATCTCCAGCAATTTAACATCTCTGAACTTCATGTTTTTATGTGTAAAATGGGTTATAATTACTAAATAAGTAAACATATTGATAGTAATATATAAAAAGTGATATGTTTAGAATAGTATCTGATGGAAAGTCTTCAAATGTTTCAGCTTTTCCCCCTTTAACATTAGAGCAAAAGTATCTTACTGAATTATCAGCGGTAATCTAAGGGATTGATTGCATTCAGTTTTCATGGATTGTAGGGCAAGGGAAACTTGGCTTTAGCAGGATAATTGCTATAGTCCATCCTGTTTTCAAAACTTGAACAAATTTGTCATAAATATTAGTGTCACTTGCATTTTGGTGGAAGTATTAAGGCAGAGTCTTGATCCGTAGTGCTGATTGGCCTCTCACTTGCAATTTCTTCCTATCTCCTCGTCCCATGTGCTGAAATTACAGGCTATCACCACACCCAACTTAGCTTTGATTTTTAGATATTTTTAATGTTAATGTTTTCTTTTTAGTCAGTACCCTTCAACCTCTAATACATTTTCTAATTTTTTTAGTTTAGTAGCAAAAGTGTTCTTCAGAAACCCAGTCCCAGAGCTGGGGAGGTGGCTGTGGGTGAAGGGCTTGCTGTGCAAGCACAAGGACCTGAGCCCTAAAAAGCTGGGTCTGGTGGCGTTCACTGCAGCCTTAGCACAGGGATAGGGAGCAGAGAGCAAAAATAGAGGCAGCTCTGAGTTCAGTGAGACTGTATCTCATGAAGTAAGGTGAAAGGCACCTGGTGTTGCCCTCTAACCTCTAAACTGCATTGCATAGGCAAGCGTACCTGCCCACAGGTATAGAGGTATATTCCCCCTTCCCACAGGTGTATTCTCCCTCTTTCCCACAGATGTATTCTCCCTCCTCCCATCAGGTGTATTCTCCCTCCTCCCATCAGGTGTATTCTCCTTCCCCACAGGTGTATTCTCCCTCCTCCCCACAGGTGTATTCTCCCTCCTCCCATCAGGTGTATTCCCCTCCTCCCATCAGGTGTATTCTCCCTCCCCACAGGTGTATTCCCCTCCTCCCATCAGGTGTATTCTCCCTCCCCACAGGTGTATTCTCCCTCCTCCCATCAGGTGTATTCTCCCTCCTCCCCACAGGTGTATTCCCCCTCCTCCCATCAGGTGTATTCTCCCTCTCCACAGGTGTATTATCCCTCCTCCCATCAAGTGTATTCTCCCTCCTCCCCACAGGTGTATTCTCCCTCCTCCCCACAGGTGTGTTCTCCTTCCTCCCCACAGGTGTATTCTCCTTCCTCCCCACAGGTGTATTCTCCCTCCCCAGGTCTAGCCTTTCTGGCACCTCATTGTTTTCACAGTCATCATTTAGGACTTCTAGTTGCCTGTGTGTAAAAGTTGGAAACTTGGTTAAGAGTTGTCAGATCATGTCATGCTAACGAGTATAAATTATTCTGTGGATCTCGTATGTAAGGTCTGTGTTATTCTTAGAGAGTAGTAGTGAGGTTGGTATGTATATATGTTTTGTGCTATGTTAGTGGTCAAACCTAGGATAGGCTGCTCTACCATTAATGCCCTGAACTGATAGTTTAGTTTTGATAGGTATTAATTTATAGACTTAATTCTCTGATTGTATTTTCTGTGCGCTCTTTTCCTAGGTTGCCTTTCAACATTTTCAAGAATTAGATGAGCACATTAGCTATGTAGCCACAAAAGTGTGTCACCTTGGAGACCAATTGGAGGGGGTAAATACACCTAGACAACGTGCAGTAGAGGCTCAGAAATTGATGAAATATTTTAATGAGTTTCTAGATGGAGAATTGAAATCTGATGTTTTTACAAATTCTGAAAAGGTAAGCATTGCCAAAATAAAAGCAATAATCAAATTTTAATTGGTTTGCCTTATATTTTAAAAAAGATTTGTTTGCATGTGTGGGGACTTCACCTATGAACAGTCACCTTACGTTTTTATTTATGAAATTACAGTTCGTTTTAGATGCTGAGATAACTATTTTTAAATATTTCCCTATCCTTTGACTTTTAATATTAATTAAATTTACATAGTCTTTAATAGTTGTATACTATAGGGTAGTAGATCTAACCTAAGTTGTTGAGGAGCTGAAATGTCTTTCTGTAAAGGAATCCACAAGTCCTAGTTTTATTTACTTGAATCAAGATCCCTTATAAAGAAATAAAGCAAAATTAGATCATGATCATTGAAAACTCTTGTGTTGGTTATGTTATTCTTTTCATAACATAGTCACTTAATATTCGTTTAAAGGTATGTGGTATTGGTTGTCAATTCTGAGAGAAGGCATCTTAGCTTGGTTTCCTCCCTATAGAGGGAAAAAAATCACAATGTAAACGAAGAAAAGATAGTCTCATGAATCATAGGCTTGCTCTACTGTTAACCCACTCATATGTTGAATACAGTTTTGCTGATTTATTCCAAATTTACTATGCAGAACATCAGATTTCAAGATGTTAAAATCTAAATATTAATGAGGTTTGTTTTGAATTAAGCAACATATTCTTATTAGTAGAACTGTGTAAAGCTAAAGGATTTATAATATTTACATATGAAAATGGTTACATGTCTGTAGGTACTCCCTCTAAAGAAAAGTCAGCTTTTAAAGATTGAGTTTCAAGGATTATAGTATTAAATAGTCCTGATAAATAACAAGAAAAGTGATATTAAGAATTTGGTTTTTTTTGTTGTTGTTGTTGTTTTTTTTTTTTTTAGTTTTGCAAGCCAGGGTTTCTCTGTGGCTTTGGAGCCTGTCCTGGAACTAGCTCTGTAGACCAGGCTGAATAGCACTTATACCAGGAGTGGGGTTCGAACCCACGCAGACATATGTCCATTGGATCTTAAGTCCAACGCCTTAACCACTCGGCCATCCTGGTGCCGGCAAGAATTTGTTATATACTGGTAGTTTCATTTTATATTTATATGGTTTAGATACAAGAATGTATATGAGACTTGAATAGCAATTTGCATTTCAGGATAATTATAGAATTTTTAAGCTTTTTTTCTAAATACTAATAAATATAGTACGGAAGTACCTACTTAAAACATGAAAATTCTGTTTTATATAAAATAAGTTGGACATAGTAAGACTGATTTGTTGGGTTACTTTTGATTGTATGCTCTAAGCAAAATACAACTGTCTTAACCAACATATTAGCCTGTTTTTATTTTATGTTGTTTTGAAAATATATTGTTTTTAATACAATATATTATGATTATGGTTTCTCCTCCCCCAACTCCTCCCAAATCCACCTACCAAAGTCTACTTCTTTCTTTCTCACTCATTATGATACAGGCAATTATCTAAAATAGTAATTATTATGATTATGCAATAATTATTAATAAACAATTCTCTGATTGTATTTTCTGTGTGCACTATTTCTAAGTTGCCTTCCAACATTTCCAATAACTAGATGAGTGCATTAGCTCTATAGCCACCAAAGTGTGTCACCTTGGAGACTAGTTGGAAGGGATAAACACACCTAGACAACATGCAGTTGTCTAGAAATTATTATTATCAGCATCAAAAACTTTATTATTATTATATAAAATGAAAGCAAACTAGTATAAGACAAAATAATTAGAAAAAAACAAGCCAAAGAAAAATCTCAAGAAACACACAGATTCAGATATATATATATATCTGAATATATATATATTCACACATACAGAATTCCCATAAAATCACAAAACTGGGAACCATAATATATATAAAAAGGACCTATAAATTTAAAAAAACAAAAAACTTTACAAAGCCTAATGAGACAAGGTTAAAAAAAACAAAACCAAGCCAAAAAAAAAAAAAAAAAAAACCAAAAAAACCCTTACAAAATGTTATAAGACAGAGCACCTCCAAAATGCCATTGTTTTCATTTTGTGTCAACCATCTACTGATGGACATGGGGCCTGACTGTAGCTGAAGGCTTTTCTCTGTCATGTCCCGTCCTGCTGAGGAAGTTTCTCTCCTGACCACCTTCCCGGCAGCCACTTATGAAATAATGATTTGGAGGCTTAATATTAATTATAATTGTTTGGTCAGTGGTTCAGGCTTTTTACTGGTTAGCCAGTAAGAAGTAAATTAACCCATTTCTAATAATCTGTATATCACCATGTGCCCCATGGCTTACCCATAATTTCTCTGGCATCTTACTTCGGGGGCTGCTGGCATCTCTCCAACTCTGCCTGCTTTTTCCCTGTCTGTCTGCTTGGACTTCCTGCCTAGTTATATTCTGAAGGAGCTTCTTTATTAACTAATGGTAATAAAACATATTCACAGAATACAGAGGGACATCCTGCATCACTTGTTCTTAAGAGTGGTTTGTATACCCAGTGAGACTCAGGTAGAGAAAATTAATTTTTCATTTGTAAGCGAGTATCAGTGGAGAGAGCTGGGTTAGGATGCAGGCTTGTGTCTACTTCCCCTTGCTGCTCCAAGACCTGTGTGAGCTCTGTGCTTGCTGTCGTAGTTTCTGTGAGTTCTTGTGTCTGTCAGAACTGCTGTGTTTAGAAGGTCTCGTTTTCTTGGGCTTTTCTCTGACTCTTACAATCATTCCACCTTTTCTGGAGGGTTCCCTGAGCCCTGAGGAGAGAGAAAAACTAGAAACATCCCATTTAGGACTGAGTGCTCCAAGGTTTCACTCTCTGCAGTGTCCAGTTGTGGGTCTGTCTGTCCATTAGTTCCCATCCAGTGCAGGAGGAGCCATCTCTGATGATGGCTGAGTGAGACACTGATCTATGGATATAACAGCATATCGTTAGGAGTCATTTTTTGCTGCTTTCCTTTTGAAACTCAGGAAAGAAGTTGGAAGAAGTATCTATATTTAGATTGATTTAAAAAAATTTGATTTATATTTATTTGAATGCTTACTCTTTAAACTTTAAAATTTTGAAATTACCCTTAACTAATCACATAGTTCTTGATGTCTGACTCTTAATTAATCCCTTTAGGTTTTAATAGAAAGGAAATGAATCTTTACATTGTTAGTATCTTTCTGGGTTACTACGTCATCGTGATTGGAGACTCACAGTATTTAAGTTATTTTCTCTCCTTTGCTTCACTTTCATTTGGATTCCTGTTGTCTTTTATCTCCTGTGTTCTGTATACTTTATTCTGCTTTTCCCGCTTGCCTTGTTTTGTTTTTGTCGCTTGGTTACTGTGTAATAATTAAGACCTGGTCCTATAACAGCCATATGTTAAGAATGCCAGTGTGGGGACTTGAGGGTTGTCTTAGTGATTGAGAGCATGTTGTTTTCTCTTGCAGAAGGCACAGGTTCTGTTCCCAGCATCCACAGGGGTGACTGACAACCTTTTCTGGTTGTAGGGGATCCAATACACTCTTCTGACCTTTGTGGGTACCAAGCATACATGTGGTACACATACATACAGGCAAAAGTCATACACATGGATTTAAATAAATAATAGATAAAATTCATATGTGACAATAGATTGACAATTATCCAATAAACCTCTGGCTATCTCAGTTTCTAGATATTTGCCATTTACTTTCCAAATGGAATGAAAAGGAAAAATCATCCACAGAGCTCTAAGGAGATGTGACTGTAGGAGGAATTAGAATTAGATAAAATGCCAAACATTACTTTTTCTTCTTTCTCTTTCTAGCGTGTGTGTGGTGTGTGTGTGAGTGAGAGAGAGAGAGAGAGAGAGAGAGAGAGAGAATCTGTCTCCTGGGTACAGTTATATATCACCACACTGGTTTTTATAGGACGCTTGGGGATGGAACTCAGGGCTTGTGTATGCTAGGCAAGCGCTCTACAAACTGAGCCATACCGTTTTCTTAGAATAGCAGCTTAGTGCTTTTTTTGTATAAGACCTGATGAGTGTTTAAAACTGTTTTAAACAGTTCAAATGCAAACAATTTATTAGGTGTTATTTGGTACCTTTATTTATTGATGCTTATTTTAAGTGATATTGTAAACAGTTCTTACCAGTTAGCCCTGAGGAGTCAGTAAAAACAGCTTTTAAGAAACAAAACTGTGTTACTTCTACCACAAACAGCAAAGTTTACAAACACCATGCTTCCTAAAAAGAGTAAGAACAAAGTCCTGATGGACCAGAGTTGGCTGGCTGTTAGCTGTGTTCAGAAGTGGCTATTGATCAATAAACAACGATGGGCTTTGCTCCTAAGACCGAATGCATGGCCGCTAGTGGAAGCTGCAGTGACTGGTACACTTCCATGTATCAGGGTGAAGAAAGCACATGGCGACTGAAAAATGAGTGACCTGCTGAGTCAGACAGGGCGAAGTCTGATGCAGGACTGCTACTGTTGACTGCACATGAGTACACAAGAACAAGCCCTGCTACCATCCTTTGCCAGGGATCACAGGAGCACCTAGAAAAATCTATGCTAATGTTCTTAGTCATTCCTTCATGGTTATATGACTCTTAATGTATAACAGTATGAATCATCACAAAGTAAGTTATTAAAATTGTGTCAAAATAAAAGTACTAAATTGGAATTTAAAGTAAGAAGTGGCCTCTCTATGACTTTCCTACACTGTTTCATAGATGAGCATAAATGTCTCTATTAAAGAATTTTAGAAACCTTGCCTAAGTTTTTTATTCAACTTGAAAATGAATACTTGACAGTATATACATATTTCTGTACTATATTTCATTCAAGATACTACATTAAACTGTATCTTTATTTTTTGTACACATTATAAGTTTATATAGTTAAGTTATAAACATTTTGTTATTTTATTCATTCAGCTTAATATATGCAGCAGTATATTCTAAACCTTATCTATTCTGTTGACCTCATTAATGTAGAAGAAATTTCCACTTTGCTTTTGACAAACAAGGATTTTTAATTTGCTCAGAGATTAAAATTTAATTGCTGGTTTTGTTGAGGGGAAGAATTGTGATATCAAAAAAAATTACAATATTTTAAGCACTAGAAATATACATGGTTGGGTTTTGAGTTGTTATCGTGTTGCCCATAAGCTTTTAAAGAAAATTGTTTGTGCAGGTATTATGGCTGGGTATAGGACAGACAGCATTGCTCTTTTCAGCTATACTATTAATTTTTGGAATCTAAAAGAGTACTTTTAATTGTTTTTACTTATTTCTCATAGATAAAGGAAGCAGCAGACGTCATTCAGAAGCTGCATCTGATTGCCCAAGAGTTACCTTTCGACAGGCAAGTTTATACCCCAAGAGCTTACTTGTCAATATAGCTTATGGAATAAAATTGCATTTTCCTTGCTCATTAAGGTAGCAAGAATTTATTGAGCACCTCATTTGTACAAGATTCTGTGTAATATAATAATATACTTGAAGGGACTCATTGTTTTTTTTTTTTGAAAAACAAAATTAATGGAGATCTTTTAAATTGACAAAGTACGATTTTGAATTTACTTATTTGGAAATTTGAGAACCAAAGTTAACTTGGCTATTTAACTCTTTTTGTATTACTAGACCAGGGTTAAATTTGGGGGGTTGTCTGTTACCTTTGAAAAGCCAGTGAAAGATACATAGTTTCTTCAGAAAATTAATATGTATACAGATTGTTGTATATAATTATGTGGAATTTTATACCACCCATAAAACCTATCCTAGAGAATTTAAGTTAACACCTTTGTAATGTAAGGTCCTGGACCATCACTAACTAGATTCTACCCTAAAATAACCTGTCCACTGAGAAAGAAATGCTCTTTCTGCTCTGTCATAAAAAAAACAAAAAAAAAAAAAACAGTTCCTTCATGTGACAACTTTCTGTATAATACAGAGCATGCTTTTCATTGGTTGATACTTGAAGATCTTCAGGTACAGATAGAATGTGGATATTTATTTTGTTGTACTTAAAGCCTCGACCATTATTTTCCTAGCATACTGTTAACCACTCCCCATATATTTACTTTACTCTCAACTCTGTACCATCATAAAGGATGAACAGTAATAGTTGTTTTATTAGTCACCCAAGAGTTGGAACACTACTTAAATGGATAAAATGTCTAAATCAAGATTAGGTGGATGTTAGCTGGCTTCATTCTGTGTCCTACCTTCCAGTCTGATTTTTCTGCACCAGACTGTTACCATTCGTGCCTATAGTTATCTCTTCTATTCCTTGTGGGTGGGGCTGGGGGCAGAGGTGAGGGTTCAGAATGTTGGGGAGTGAACCCAGGCTCTCATACATTTGACATGCCTCTAAGCCAAGCCTTGGAGTTGAGTATTTATCCTAATCAGATCCAGTGTGTTCACATAGACCAATATAGCCATTCTGTTGTCTACCATGACTTTGCTATAAGATTTTTATATAGCCCTTTAAATGTGTTTCCTTCCTTGTCTGCTTTTAGCATCTTTTTTCTTCAAATGACCATTTGTATAGGATCTCTCAAAATCAGTTTCCCTTGATGATTAATATTTGAAAAGTTCTTGGTGTATTTTATCATTTTTATTTTGTAAAAGTTGATTATTCTCCTATACTCATTTCCGAATTCTTTTATGGTCCCTTTCATTTTCCTAGTTTTAGAATAATTCATTTGAGGTTTTTATCATTTGTTTTTGCTATATCTTATATGATCATTAAAAAAAAATTAAAACTTTACATTGCCATTATTCTTCACAATGGCCATTGAACTAGAAAGGACAGTAACCTGACTTTGAGATTGGCTGGGTTGTTATTGCCTCAGGTGGAACTCTTTCTTTAACAAGTGAATTGATTATTTACATGTAAATTTTCTAAATGAGAATAGCAATTTTATTTGAATTACCCAAATTTATTGTCACCTGGCTTGTTTTCTTTCAGTATTCTCTTCCACAGCGTTGTCTCTTTTCTTTTCTACAGTGATGGTGACGTTTTATTTTTATGGTAGTTTTCTATTTAAGAACAGTTAGGAAGGTAATACAAAAGGTGCCACAAATAACTGCAGCACTCCCCCCTTTGTATTGTTTTTATTGTCATATTTGTCACAGCTCATGAACCTCATCATTGGCTTTCTGTTTCTCAGGTTTTCAGAAGTAAAATCCAAAATTGCAAGTAAGTGCAATCTATTTACTTAGCACATTCTTAAGAAGAAAAACTCACATTAAAAAAAAAAAGCAACAGGTGAGAAAGTGGGAATGATACCATTGATCCATCCGATCCTAGAATTTGAGGCCTCTTCCCTCAGAATAACAATGACCAATTTCCGGGCTATCTACTAGTACCTTGTTTGCATATTGATGTATCTTTCTATATTTTTAAATAATTGGAAACATGTAACTTTAGACTTACTATATTTAGCCTAACTATACATTTTTAGAGATTGTGTTCGTTTAATGTAAGGATTTTTCTTTTGAATTGGGAAGACATAAACATTTCAATTTCTGTTTAGCTATTTTGTTCCTTATATGGTTATAGTTTTATTTGAGTGGGGGGTATTTTGTTTTGTTGAGACAGGGTTTCATTATATATCCCTGGCTATCCTGGAATTCACTATATAGACCAGGTTGGCCTTGAACTCATAGAGATCTGCCTCTGCCTCCTGAATGCTGGTGGGATTAAAGGTGTGTACCACTACACCTGGTTTAAGTCAGTCTTTGGGTTATTTTTTAAGCCAAACCCATGCTTCTAGAAAAACCCTGTGTTTTTAGTACACTTTACCAGTGTTCACTGTTAAGTAAGCCATTTCTCAGAAAGCCAACTACCTGTTTTTTTCTTATCTTACAATAAGGACATGTATAGATATTTGGATTCCCTAGGAATATTTTTGATCACTTTAAATTAGTTCATGGTTCAAATAATAGGTAAGAATATGGCATTAAATCAAGGGCCACATACTATCTTAGGATAAAATTTGATATTTGACTATTATTCTCTGTAGAAGTATCTGAGCATTAGTAAAGGCTTTGTAGTCCTTATATTTTCCCTGACATTAGAGTAAAGATTAAGGATTTTTTTTCTGTATTTTCCCATCAAAATTGTTATCTGAAAGGGTTTTTTTTCTCTTTGTCTTTTTTCTTTCATGTAAATATCTCATCATCTTTTGGTTTAAGTAATATTTATAAATGGCTGTTATACCTCGAAGAGCTCATCTGTTTTACCAGTGTGTAAAGCTTTTGTGTCCCGAAATACAGATTTTTGTACATCAGGATGTTGTATGAGCTAGATTCACTGTTTATAATCTCATGTTTTTGTAATTCTCCCAAGAAGACAGACCCATAACCACTATAAATTTTGTAATATTTCTAGACTTAGATGACTGTATGTAAGTTGTATACTAGATTGTCATGATTCAGTTGGATGATTTCCTGGCTTTAGGTAAATACCATGATTTGGAATGCCAGCTGATTCAGGAGTTTACTAATGCCCAAAGAAGAGGAGAAATCTCCAGGATGAGGGAAGTAGCCGCAGTTTTACTTCATTTCAAGGTAATGTTGAGATTTTAACTCATGATCCGTCTCCAAGTTCCTGAAGATTTTATATCCCTTGATTTCCCCTAATTATTATGTAACTATATGACAGAATAACTTTGTTTGATGTTTGTTAAATATTACTCAATATTTTTTAAAGATTTTCTGGTAATATTAATGCTTTATCAAGCAATGCGCCCGGCTTTAATCCCAGTGCTCGGGAGGCAGAGGCAGAGGCAGGCGGATCTCTGTGAGTTTGAGGCCAGCCTGGTCTACAAGAGCTAGTTCCAGGACAGGAACCAAAAGCTACGGAGAAACCCTGTCTTGAAAATCCAAAAAAAAAAAAAAATAGTTGGTGAAAGAAAATGTCATTAGCCTTCGTGCTTCAAGTATATCATTTTCAATCAAAAATGTTTATAAATAAGTAAAAAATTAAAAAAAACCTGAATATCAATATCTAGTGGAAGATATGAACCAAAGAGTAGATGCACTGTGACTAGAAATAGGGACCTGGAAGATCTTGAGTGCTGAAGACATACATGTGGATTATGGAGCTGTCTTCCTGGAGTCTGAGCTGGAGAGAAAATCCTCATTGAAAAATTCTATTAGCTTAATTATAGAAGATAGGACAAGATACCCATGTTAAATTACTAGATGGTTCACTACCATTATTTCATTTTACATTTGATGACTGCTGATCATTCACTGGGGTACAAGATGTAGTTTTATTATATATAACACTTCTGCTGAGACTGATATTATAATTAGAACCAGACAATAACATTGTTTCTCTTTACAGGGTTATTCCCATTGTATTGATGTTTATATAAAGCAGTGCCAGGAGGTAATTTTACAGTATATTTTTGAATTCTATTTTATACTAATTTTTATTTTGAAGCTATTTATAAATAATGTATTAACAATGTAAATTACCTCTGTCATTTAGGGTGCTTACTTGAGAAATGATATATTTGAAGATGCAGCAATACTCTGTCAGAGAGTGAACAAGCAAGTTGGAGATGTCTTTAGTAATCCAGAAGCAGTCCTGGCTAAACTTATTCAGAATGTGTTTGAAATCAAACTACAGGTAACTTTAAACAGTAATAAATTAAATAGTTCTTAAGGCAATGTGTTGGGTTTTTTTCGAGATTTTTAAAATTTATTTTCATTATTTTTAATTATGTGTATGCGTGTGAATGTGTGTGTTTATGCATATGAGTTCAGGTACCCACAGAAACCAGAGGTATTAGATTCCCCCGGAACTGGAGTTAAAGGTGATTGTGAGCCATTGGATGTGGGTGCTGTGAATTGAAGTCAGTGCTTTTGGAAGATTTTTTTAATTCATTTTTTAAGTTAGCCTATCAAGAAATGGGTTTCATTATAGCAACTTGATGTGTTCTCCTTTGTTCTTGTGCTGCTTCCCTGTCCTGTGCTCTCCTCCTCCAAGCGGTCCCTCTGTTCCTCATAGAAGCTCCTCTGTTTTTACCCTCTATGTTTTCACCTCTCTTAAGCTCTCTTCCTACTGGCTTACCCCTTTCTAATTTTATGACTTACCCACAGCATTCTCATATCATTTTAAATCTAGGCTTCATAGATAAGAAAGAATGTGATATTTGTAAGTTTGGTTTATTTATTTAACATAATGATCTTGAGAAGTTATATAATTTAGTATTTCCTCATTCCTAAGAATGTTACTTTCCCTTTTAGAGTTTTGTGAGAGATCAGCTAGAAGAATGTAGGAAATCAGACGCTGAGCAGTATCTCAAAAGTCTCTATGATCTGTATACAAGGTATGTGTAGACAGGGCCTCACTATCTCTAGCTAGCCTGGAACTTCCTGTGTAGACCAGGCTGACCTCAAATTTACTGAGGTCTGTCTGCCTCTTCCTTGTGAATACTAGACTATCACAACATGCGTGACTATGCCTTGCTGAGGTATATTGTTAATTATTAAACAATAGCCATACATTTTATATTTTCTTTCTCTTTTAATAGAAAATAGGAAAGTATTCAGATATTTGTCAGATAGCGCTGTCCCTTTTTGCAGTAAGTGCCTGCTTGTATAGATAGGAGGTACACAAGAGCAGAATTCTTACTGTTGTAACAAAAGACCTTGTTTTAACTGACTTGAGAATTTTATTTGTGATTTATGAGCTAGTTTTTGTGATATTTTTGTTGTTGTTTTACTTTAAGAATTAGTACAGTTACCGGGCAGTGGTGGTGCACACTTTTAATCCCAGCATTCGGGAGGCAGAGGCAGTCAGATCTCTGTGAGTTCTAGGCCAGCCTGGTCTACAAGAGCTAGTCCCAGGACAGGCTTCAAAGCTACAGAGAAACCCAGTCTTGAAAAACAGGAACAAACAAACAAAAGAATTAGTACAGTTACATTCATCCCCAGTCCCTTTGTTTTGGGAGAAGGTTCATCATAATAAGAGTAGCAACACTCTCTTCAATGGTGTGAAATAAAAACTTAGAGGTCAGTCCACATGGACAAAGACAGAAATGATGACCAGACAGTAAATTCTTCGAATCACGTGAGTACTTATGGTGGAAGGCTTTAGAACATACCTTAGCTTCTCTCCGTTTTTGCCATTTCTATGCTAGTCATTGCTTCACAGCCTTTTTCCCTAGGTCATCTCCAGCATTTTATATCAGTTTTCAAAACTATATTATTACTTGTAATATTCTATTCTGTTTCATGTATAGCTTTATAAGCTGCTTTCTATATCTTAAGTAGTCTCCCAATATTTCAGAAATGATCGTTTGATATAAACCATTAAAGTTCTATTATGATACATAGGATCTATAATGTTGTTACAGTATCTAAAAGATATATTAATCTTTTTCTTTCTTTTTTCCATGAAAAGAACCACCAGTCTCTCCAGCAAATTGATGGAGTTTAACTTAGGTACTGATAAACAGACTTTCTTGTCTAAGCTTATCAAATCCATTTTCATTTCCTATTTGGAGAACTATATTGAAGTGGAGATTGGATATTTGAAAAGCAGAAGTGCTATGATCCTACAGCGCTATTATGATTCAAAAAACCACCAAAAGAGATCCATTGGCACAGGAGGGTAGGTTTCTAAAAATTAAATATAGTTAAAATTGAAATTGTTAAGAACATTAAGTTTGAGTAAAGTTAGTAACTATTAGCTGCTATTAAAATTTTCTGTGTACAGCTCTTCATACTGTATGTACTGTTGACCAAATCCTACACACTGAAATGGTCTAAATAGCATTCTTAAAATGTAAATCAAGCCAGGTGGTGGCAGCGCTTGCCTTTAATCCCAGCACTAGGGAGGCTAAGGCAGGAGGATCTCTGTGAGTTCAAGGCCAGCCTGGTCTACAAGAGCTAGTTCCAGGAAAGCCAGGGCTACACAGAGAAACCCTGTCTCGAAAAACAAAAAAACAAAACAAAACAAAAAGTAAATCAAACACTTTTCAATCAAAATAATAAAAGATAATATTAATAATATAAAGAATTCTGTAGTTTAAGTTCCTTTCCAGAGTTAATTGTTCTGGGTTATTAACTATGCATCACATCATTCATTATTGAAGCTGTGAATGAAAGAGCAAATACTTTATTTACATTTTAGGCAGCCCTGATTTTTTGGTCATCTGTACATAAAACTATTAGATTTATACTGTAAAGTCTGAGAATTTGCATATGAGAAGAGAATTTGCTGTAAAGTTGATGATGACAGTCATTCCCAGATGGGATCTAGCAGATCCAACAATCTAATCTAATACATTTAAAAAAGATATTCTTGAGTTGTTTTCATGCTAAATCAAAATCATTTTATTTCAAAAAGTAAAAACCTAAAGAATAAACATAAGACTTCAAAAAATGAGTTCACGGTAGCCTGAGCTATATGTTCTAGTAGCAAAAGTAATTTAACCTAGAGAGAGATATGTACATAATAACAGGTGACCCTTAATCACTAAGGAAAGCTGTTACACTTAAGAGGTCTAGTTTAATATAGTGAAGATATGAGCAATATATTTAAATGGTTGTTTTTTAAAAGAAGTACTAAAATTTTAAAGCTTTCTTTTTATACAAGACTACTTTTAGTTATTTGTTATTTAGAATAGCTTCTTGAAGGTGAAGAATGATTCAGGTAGGATTTCTGACATCCTCATCTGGCTTTTTGTGAGTAAACAGGAGCATGCACCCAGATATACTTGTGAACATACACACCAATGTTCAGTACCTCAGATTTAAACTGTCTTAATGAAAGTTATTAAAAACCAACTTTTATAATTAAAATGTTAATCTCTTGGTTATTGACTTATTTTAGGTTTTGTTTTTTTCTTTTTGCCAATATGCATTAAGATTGAGCATATTTGCAGTTAAAATCTAAATATAGTAAACTTCTCTTTTCGTTTGTCTTTATGATGTACTAGTATTCAAGATTTGAAAGAAAGGATTAGACAACGTACCAACTTACCACTGGGGCCAAGTATTGATACGCATGGGGAAACTTTCCTATCTCAAGAAGTGGTAGTTAATCTTTTACAAGAAACCAAACAAGCCTTTGAGAGATGTCATAGGGTAAGAATAATAAATTAATTTTTTAAGCTATAGTTGTATATTTCAAGTTTTGTCTCATTTATAGAAAGATAAAAATGTACTTCTTGATTAGGACCAAGTAGTTTTTTAATTGACACAGTTTATACAAATTGCATGTACTATATAGATACCATATGAAGTTTTGATAAAAGTGTACATTGAGTAATAGTCAAATCAGGATGAGCATATATATCCTCATATTCATCATTTTTTGTGGTAAAAACATTCAAAATTTATTCTAACATTAAAAATGTAGAGTATATTGTTAATCTGTTGTCATCCTGCTGGTGCAGTAGAATGTTGACCAGCCTTTTTCATCACTCTCTACTTCTTTCCACACTTTCCTCGGCTGCAAGTGACCATATTCCACTCAACGTCTGTGAAATTCCCTTTAGTTTTGGCCTATGGGTGAAGTTGTCCAGTATTTGTTGTTCCATGCTTGGCTTACCTCACTTAACAGAATGTCTTCCAGTTCCTTCTCCATTGTGCAAACAACAGGATTTCATGGCTTTGATGGCTGAAAAGTATCCCTTTGTGTGTATATATACCAAGTTTTTTTTTATCTGTCATTTAGTGGACAGTTAAATTGATTATGTTTCTTGGCTGTTGCAAATATTGTTCTAGTAAACATTGAGGAAGAGACCTGGTCAGTCATCCTCATCAATTTAGACCATGAAACTCTATATGGACAAGTTCAACAGAACTGCCATATACGGGCTGCCCATGAATGCTTCAAAAAATTATTGCCAGGACATAAATTTCAATTCAAAAACATTGGAATGCAGATCCCTCTTCAACAATCAAATTTCCTTTCCTTTGTTTCTGTACCCAGGAGGGGACTACTGGGTCTAATGCAATTGAATCTCTGTAACATTTTTCATAATGGCTGTTCACATTCCCACCGACAGTAGAAAGGGTTCTCTTTTTCCATATCCTCTCCAGCTTGTGTTCCTTTTTGTCTTTTTGCCTTTGTAACTGAAGTAAAATGATAACTTGCTGTAATTTTCTTTGCTATTTCTCTGGTGACTAATGATAGTGATCATGTTTTTATTGTGTTGAGTTCCTTATATGCTCTTCATATGAATTTACAATTATTAGATTGTATAATTGCAAATGTTTTCTTTTTGTTCTGTAAGTTTTCTTTCATTCTTGGCTGTTTCCTTTGCTGGGTGGAAACTTGAATATACTTTGTTTTCACTTTTGTTTCCTTTGCTTTTGGAGTCTCATTCAAGAAGCATTTATCCATTCCAACGTGCTGAAGTATTTCCACTTTTAGCACAATTAATAAAAACCCAGAGACAGATATTGGGGTTCAACCTGAAGATTAGAGAAGCAAAGCAGCCAAACCACTAGAGAACTCTTACCTCTATGAAATCTTCAGACTGAAAGAGAGCGAGTTCCTTGTCTCATCCTGCCTTATAATCGTCTCTAGTGCTGGGTTTAAAGGCCTCTATGGCTTGTTAGTGTGGCTTCTGGTATTAGAGGTGTGTGCCTCCACTGCCTGGCCTGTATGACTGACTAGTGTGACTGTTTGGTGTTCTGATCTTCAGGCAAGCTTTATTTATTAAAGTACAAATGAAATTTTCCTATATCCACTATGTTTTCCTGTAGTTTCATAATTTGCGGGGTTCCACTAAAGCTTTAATTTATTTTGAGTGAACTTGTGTCTGCTATTAGAGATAGACAGTTGTACGTATCTACATATTGTCCCATATCAGCTGAACAGATTGTTTTCTCTAATTTGTGTTAAGATTTTTGTCAGATCAAAAAGAAACTTCTGTGTCCATGCTGAGGCAACACTAGCCTGTGCAAATAAATGTAACTGTTTAGGAAGTAGTTTGATAGTATGTCCAGTTAGCCAGACAGAAACAATAGATTCATCACTAAGGTCCATGGTTTTCTAGGCCATGGGTCTTTCTTTGACCCACTTCACAGAACCAGGCATGAACTCACTCTTGTGGAACATGCATTAAATCCTGTAGTTGTGTTTTTTGAATTAATTGATTTATGTATTTATTTGGTTTTTTTTGTGTTTGCTCTTTGGCTTTTTTGGGAGCCCACCCAACTCCCAAATAAATACACACATGGAAGCATATTCTTACTTATGCTTGACCTTAACGTTGCTTATTTCTAGCCAACTTTTCTTAACTTTAATTATCCCATCCATCTTTTGCCTCTGAGCTTTTATCTTTCTCTATACCTTTTCTGTATACCTTTCTTTACTTCTTATTTCGTGTCTTGCTGTGCATCTGGATGGCTGGCCCCTGATGTCCTCCTCTTTTTCTTTTTTATGCTCCTCAATCTTTCCAGATTTCTCCTCATACTTATTCTATCTGCCTGCCAGCCACACCTATCTTTTCTTTTGCCTTGTCATTCAGCTTTTTATCAGACCAATCAGGTGTTTTAGACAGGCAAAGTTAAACAAATGCAGCATAAAAGAGCACAACACATCTTTGCATCAGTAAGCAAGTTTTCCACAGCATAAACAAATGTAGCACATTTTTACTGATAGTCCACAGCAGAGTCCCAGTGGAGCCCAATCGGTCACGTCCATGACGGTCATAACACTGGTGGGCCATCTCATTACTCATTCTTAGTCTGTTTAGGTTTCTTTCTTCATGATAAGGAATGTGTTCAGGAATTTATCCATTTCTTCTAGATTATCAAATTTCTTGGCATATCTTTATTCATAATAATCTTTAATCCTTTGTATTTTATGGCATCCATTATAATGTATACTTTTCCACATCTGATTTACTTATGTAGAATTTTCATTTTTCCTTTTTTGAGATCGCCTCACTCGGTAGCCTGGTTGGCCTGGAATTCACAGAGACCCTCTGCCTCCTGAGTGCTGGAATCAACAGCATGCATGGCTACACCTGGCTCTTAGTCTGTTTGTTTTGTTTCTTTTATTTTTTTTGAGATTATAATATAATTATATCATTATTCCCCCTTCCCTTTTCTCACCCTTCTTTGCTCTTTTAAATTCATGGCTTTTCCATAATTGTTGTTATATACCTTTATGTAAATACATAAATATACCTAAATATATGAATACAACCTCAGTCTGTATAATGTTACTTGTATGTATGTTTTCAGGGCTGACATTTCTATTGGTAATAACCAAATTGGTTTGCACTTCCTTGGGGAAGTTTCCCCCACCCTCATCATTCCTTAGTTGCCAGCACTTGTTTGTGTAGGACTGAAGTCTTTGGTTCCTCCACCCCACCCTACCCCATGTTAGCATATCTATTGTCCTTGTTCAGCTCATAGGTAGGCTTTCTTATGGATAAGACTTTATGAGTGTAGCTTCTGACATTTCTAGGAGACATAATCTCATAGCAAACTTGAAATCTAAAAATCAAAAGTAGTAATAGCTACATTAGATGTGAAATGGTGCATTTTTTAAAAGTTCGTGTTCCTCTGGCTCTTATAATCTTTTTGTTTCCTCTTCCATAACCATACCTGAGTCTAAGCAAGGTGGAGGAATTGTCTTGTAGATGTATCCACTGAGACTTAAGTATGTTTTTAAAAACATAGTTATTTGTTGCTGTAAACTTCTTGCTAGTATTGTTTCATCTACAAGGTATTGGTTTGTTTTATTTCCATTATCATGCATAGCAAGACATTTTTAATTTCCTTCTTTATTGCTTCATTGATGGTTTAGGTATTTAATTTCCATGTATTTGTATAATTCCCAAAGATTTTTCTTGTTGCTAATTTTTTGTTTTATTTAGAAAGATATTCAACTTTTAAGAAACAAAAAACTCAAAAAAAAAAAAAAAAAAAAAACAAACCCCAGAACAAATGCTTAAAGGGATTTCTTCAAACTGAAATGAAGAGATGTTGACAAGATGAAAACACCTGTATTTGTTCTGGGGTTTGTTTTTGTTTACTTGAGTTTTTTTGTTTTGTTTTGTTTATAGGGGAAATAGGTAGTGATAAATATTCTCAGTGTTTGTTTGGAAATGTCTCTTACTTCTCTTTGTGTCTAGAGGCTAGCTTTGCTGGGTATAATATTTTTATTGTCTAGCTTTGCTGGGTATAGTATTTCTGTTGACAGGCTTTAGTTGTTAGTTTTTTTTGTTTGTTTTGCTTTGTTTTTCTTCTCTCTTACTTTTTCAACATGTGAACATCTTACTCTCTTTTGGCCATTAAAGCTCTGCAATTCTTCAGTTGAGTGACTGAGTGGAATTTAAAAAAAAAAAAGGACCTAAATACATACTACGGGAAGGTAACAAAAGAAGCCACATTTCACCTCTAAAGACAGATTTGCACTATTGATCCCTTAACATGCTATCTGTTTCCTTTTTTCTTGTTGCTTTAAGAATCTTCTTGTCTTAAACCTTTGAAACTTGTTTATAACCTTTGAATCTTGAAGTATAAACTCTCCTTCTTGCTTTCCCATCCTTGAATCCTATTAGCCTGAATATTTGCTCTATTAATGCTTTTCTGTAGTTCCTATAATCGTTATATTCCTATTCTTTTTTTTTTCTTTTCCATATATATTTGGTTTGGGAGGTAGCTGACTCTTCAGCTTGTTTCTGCTAATGATGCTTTTATTACTTTTTTTATTTACCATACTTTTAGCTCCAGGATGTTTTGGTTTTATAAATTATTTCATTTTTCTTTGGCAAATTGCAGAATTATTTGCATATATCTTCTTGAGGTTCCTAGAATTTCTTTAAAACATCTACTTTGTGTTTTCTGTCTTGAGAGATCACACACTTTGCTTGGCTCTGTTTTGCCTTGTTTTGTTCATGATTGGGTCCCTGAAAACTCTGGATGCTTGTTGGCCTACAGTAGTGTCTGCATATTGGAAATTTAGATGTTTATTACTGTCATAGTAATCTTCTCTTGTATTTTTGTACTCATTCTTCCACAATAATCTGTTTGTTATTATCTCCAACACCTTGGTCACTTGGTTTTAACAATAGATGGCACCCTATGTCTAGATTTTTTGCCAGCTCTAGTTCTCTTAC